CCAACCACTATATCTGATAAACTTCGTTCCAAGTTATATAAAATATATAAGAAAAAAACTGGGCTTGATCCTTGGATGAAGTCTGAAAATCTGGAACCCTCACAAATCAAAGAGGGTAATTATACCCCACAGGATTGTGTTATCAAAATTTCTAAGTTTCCAGAAGAAAAAAGCACAATCCATGAAGCAGTACATAAACGGTTTCCTTTTTTGAGATATACCAATTCGAATGCATGGCATCGGGATGTATTTAAATATACCAATTCAGAAGCCAAATGCCCAGTATGCAAAGAGGTACATACACGTCGAGGTATATGGGGCGATTGGAGCTGTCTCGGTAAAAATGATCACTATTTTCTTAATTGCCCTTTTCGTATCGATCAAAAGAAAGTTATAATCGCTATACAAAGCTTACCAGAAATTCAAGTAAGTGTACCAAACAAAATCAGTAACTCACCAATTCATCCAAACAAAACCCGCTTTTATCAATATGCCGTTGAACATGGAATGGATCCTGAGAAATTTTCGATCGTTACTGAGGCTGAGAAAAATAGGTGGACTATGGGATGTTTTCGTGGGGATTTGGAAAGAGATATACGCTTTTATCGCGGTGGAATAGAAAGTAAAGAAGACCCTAGAAAATATCGTGAATTTTTAACAGATCGGGAGAGGCTAATCGGTGAAGAGTTATTACGTCGCAGTATACTAAAAAGTGGTTTGAGTACTGCATGGCTCGATGATCTTATGGAAGAATGGGAAAAAATCCATACTCAATTTATACAAATTTTTAGCTAGGCCTAACCAAAAAATTTTGCCAGTAATCCTATCGTTTCTAATAAAAAAGCATTATAAATAAGTTTACACCATATAGCTATATCTCCATACACGTTTAAATTCTGGCCAATTTACACAATCGCGTAAAAATAAAAAATGGCGAGGCCACGGGACCCCCCTCTTTATTTCATAAAAATGTTGCCCAAACGAACAACAATATACAAATAAAAAATATTATTACTACTTCGTATCATTATAACCTGCATCACCACCTTGGCCATTTCCTTCATCAAAGATGAATTCGAACACCAGGTCTATAGTATATTGTAACTGTACCGTTCTCCGAAGTGGACCCCGATTATTCTTAATTTCCTCCAGAGTTGTTTGACTATTACCAATTTTGAAATATTGGCCTGTTTGTTTATAAACTATACTATAATTATACGGAATGAAAAAATGAGATATATAAAACATGCAATACAAAAATATAAAAACCAGAACAATTAGAAAATTCTGTAATTTACAATTCTTTCGGCTTGTTAGGTTCTACTAATTCTAGCGGTTCATAAGATTTTCCTTCTTCATCAAGATGAAATATTTTTATTTCATTAGGTCGAGGTCCTGGATTCTCTATAAAAAATTAGATTGATTAACTACGACTTCATTAACAACTCTAATAAAAGAATTTACCATATTTAACTGAAACATATCCTTCCATTGCAGACATTTTTCAAAAAATTATATATGAGCAAAAAACGTTATTAATACCCAGCCTTACAAGACAAAAAATCGCTTATTTTTATACTTCACGTTCATTAGATCTAGAGAACCTGCCAGAAAGAAAAATACACGATTAGTAATTATGTT